ACGAAATTTGGTGATTTGAATTTGAATGAATAGAAGTAAGATTTTTTCTTTTTATTACTTTTTACATTTAAGTTACTTATCAATTTCAGCTTTGCTTTTTCTTTAAACAGCTTGACATTGTCAGAATTGTCAGCAAAAATAAAATTGAGGTACCACATGGGGAAAATCTTAATAGTGAAATTATATTTTGATATTTTCACTGTGAAATAACCAAACATAATTTTCACGGATAAATCAGTAATCCACTGAAAAGCATAAAATAAATAAATACACATTGTAATGTACATCACAATAAATCATCGATATAAAGCTAAGGATCTTACACGTGTTTCTTTTCATTTTACTTAGTTTAAAAAAAGAACACAACACGAATGTACGGTTTATAGAGGATTTAAAATGAGTGTACAGTTAATACAAATTTATTGAACGTGTAAAATTAAATCATAATATTGCTTTACTATACGTGTTCAATAAATTTAGTATTGAATTAGTATTGAATCTCAAAGAATACTATAATTATTCTTGACGATGCTAACTTGATTCTGCAAAAAGGAAAAGTAAGAATAAAGATGATTCTCTCTTTTCCCTTAACATGTATTCGATGTAGGATAGCGTAAGGAATCATGGGGTACTTATAGGGAAAATATACAACAAGATGGTAAAACTTTCAATAATTTCAACATATATTTAAGACAATATTTAGGTGATGTTTAGTGGAAAGGAATTATTACCGATCTGCCTCGTAGAACAATAATGTCACACATTCATTCAACTAAAATATTATCAGTAGTGATAAATTATATAGATTACCGAGGACGAAGATATTATCTACTTTAATAAAAGGGCGGCAAAAGAGTCAACAGATGGCTGGGGGAAAAAGTAATTTCCCTCATTTTGGCAAACAAAACTGCCGCCCCCTTCAAACCTCACAAACAGAAAGGGCACATTCCCCTTCTGGCAAGCCGAAAAAGTGATCACTTTTTTACAACAAAAGACATGGTTTTGGGCCTTAATTGGGCATTTCGTCACTGTTTGAGGCCTCAAAAACGGGGGTAGGGCAAATCCGTCAAAACACATCTATTTGAGGTAAAGGGTTAATTAAAAGTATATTTTTCCAAAGGTTGCAAAATGACTCCGATGATACTATTTTTTCCCGAAATATATGTAAGTTTAAAAAGAATCAGCTTAACATTATATATAACACACATTTTTTAACACTCCTTTTGCCATTATATTCATAAATGAATCATGGTTGATCATTGTGTTATTCATGTAGTTTTTAAACACATGATGGCTTCCCTTATTTTTGATATTCACACTGATGGCTTTTTTTGGAATTAAGTATATTTGTGGAATATTACCATAAAGACATAAAATCGTATTTTGTTATAATTTGATTTGACTTGGCATGCACGAAAGAAGATGGATAAATATTTTTATAAAATATTATTACAAATAAAGACAAGATAATCAATAGATACGAATCCGCAAAGAAGTCGGGATTAAGAAGCAAAGTAACTGTCAAATAATATGATAAACAAGATCGACAAGGAAAGGCGGCATTCAATGAACGCAGCCCCCACCCGACCCAGCAACAAGCGCCAGCGGCAAGGAGCCCAGGAGGACCCCAAAGAAAAACAGGACAGGGCACAAGGCGGAGCACGGGCAGGCAAACCACCACATCAGAATAAATAATTAGTAACTGATAAGGAACCAAATGAAAACAAATAAATGATCCAACACAATGCCCTCAATGCCAAAAGGGGAAGGGGACACGAGACACGGGGAAGGGGGGGGGGGAATAAATAAAAACTAGGAACAAAGGGGAAGATACTTACCGTAGACGAGAAACAACAAGAGACACGAGTAAAAGTGTCACCAAAACAGTATAAAACAACGTAGACATACATCTGAGGAACACAGAGGGGAGCCGCTTTGGAACGGTCAGCAGCATAATAATGACTACTGGGGAGTTTAAACCGGTTAATGGTGCACCAAACCTCGCTCTTAGCCCCACCATGTTCCTATAAACAAGACAGTGTAAATAAAATGAATCCCCGCCAAGTGAAATTCTAACAGTTGTTATGGTTACAAAAGGTTAAATAAGTAAAACACCAAAATGACCATGTAGAAACATAATTATAAAAGTAAACCCAATGACCATAACAAAAGTACTCGATGTCTTAAAGGAAGACAGAGCAACAAGGAAATCACCTACAAGGGCCCGACGAAGCAAGACAGAAGACAAATATTAAGGCAATTCTGTCCCAAAGGGCTTTAAGAACTGCCCATCATATAGTCTCCCACTTGGTCTGTCAGATGTAATCAAAAGAGGAAAGCGTAGTGTCCAACTGTAAAAGGGTTGAACACTAAGCATGCGGTATGTCTTAAAATAGTAGGGTCATAACCCCTTTTAATAAAACGTTTAATAATTTTAGTAAACACAACAGAAAAATTACAATGACCCAAGATCTTACGAAGTTTGTAAACAACATCACCGTAAAAATCAGGCTGGCTAATCCCTTGTCGCAGAAGTGTTTTTAGATCACTATTGAATTTTGAAATTATATCAAAGTTACGATTGTAAAATTTTGTAAAATATTTACGTGATTTATAATAGCGGTAGCCCTGTTTTAGAAGCTTACCGGTAATGAAAATATTTCGCTCGTTAAAATCCTTTACGTTGCTACAAGCTCTGACAAATCTAATTAACTGAGATATATAAACCCCGTAAGATGTTGCATGCGGTACGTCCCCATCCAAATGAGGATAATTATCTATACTAAAATCAAAGTCATCTCTTTTACCATAAATTTTCGTGTGAATCGAATTGTTTTTGATAGTGATATGAAGATCCACAAATGATGTAGTTAAATTTCAAGAATTCGTTTTATTAGGATGTAGCTCCGTAGGATAAATATTAGACACCATTTGATCAAAAAAAGAATTATCTAAATTAAAAATGTCATCAAGATATCTGGAAGTGTTATTAAATGCTGATATAACATCTTGTTGTGTATTTTCAGAGAGACTCAACATAAAATCTCTTTCATAGCAATACAAAAACAAATCGGCGACCAGGGGTGCACAATTAGTACCCATAGGAATTCCTATGATTTGTTTGAATAGGGTATTACCAAACCTGACATAAATATTGTCTAAAAGAAAAGAGAGTGCTCTACAAACTTCGTCACAGGTCCACATAGTATATTGTTTAACAATACAGTTTGTAAAGAAGGCTTTTTGAGAGTTACATGCAAGAAATGTAACTTTTTCCCGTGCAAAGGTTTTCTGAATAAGGGAAATTAGTTTATCATTAATTAAATTATGTGGCAGTGTAGTATAAAGGGTAGAAAAATCGTATGTACTGACAGTTGAAGCCTGATAGTTCTTAATTTTTAATTTATCCAGAATTTCACCGGAATTCTTAATGGACCAAAATAGATGTTTGCCTGTATTTTCGTATACTTTATCACAGTATCTAATTACATGTGTTTTAATGGCAGTCAAACAAGATGTCAATAAAATAGAAAGTTTAGTTGTTGTGCTAGATGTAGAATTAGCAATGAATCTGGCTTTGTAAGGTTTTTTATGTAATTTGGGAATCCAATACATAATAGGAAGTTTTAGTTCTTTTTCATCGATTCGGACTTTAAGACTGGATATATTAGTGACATGATTGTTAACAATGTCTTTTTCAGAAGCAGTAGTTTTAGAATACGCATTAGTGCTATTAAGTTCTTTATGTAAAACGTTAATGTAATGGATACGTCATACAATCATGATATTAATAGCCGCCTTGTCCGCTGGTACCAAAACAAATTTTGAGTAAAAAGCTAGAATATCCTTTTTCAGATGTCTTAAAGTAAGTCTCGGTTTAGGTGGAGAAAGATCAAAGACGCTGGGACCGTAGCGTTAGGACAATTAATTTGAGTCTACAATGGTCCATTAAAAATTATTGGATATTAAAATATCTAAATTAAAAACATATCGTCCAATAGTATAGGTTTGTGGATAAGTAGGTACCATTTGTTTATTTTCAATTGTATTTTCACACAATCGTTACACAATTTTGGTTGTATCTTGGCTGTAGATATTCCTAACACAATTACCTGGATAATGAAAGAGTAGTAACTAATATCTCTGCAAGAGATCATTGACAAATACCATAATGTGCTGCATGTATGTTGATTATTTAGTTTGTTGTTATGGTTTTAATATGCTATTGTCTATCGCCTCTCATTTAAGAATTATATTTGTCATATGGGATACATAGTTTGTTACTTGTGGAATAATTGGTTATTACTGGTTAGTTATGCAAGAATGTCGATAAGGTTGTTAGACACCTGGGAGATATGATCAGAAACGAATTTTAAAATCGTTAAAAAACAAAAAAAATAAAACAGACATTAAAAAACGTACAGACAATTAATTATTAACCGAGTAAATTACAACTGTATAAATATCCAGGCAGCGTCACTTTATCGGTTAGACAAACGGTCAAAAGACAAAATTTACTTTCAAGCGGCATCAACCAAATAACCTGCTACTTAGCTGTTACCACAAATATAGGACAAGATCAGCTTACATATCCGTGCAATCTGACCAATATTCTGCTACGATAGGTCATTTTTGTATGGATATTGAAATCCCTTTATATAAAAAAATTAAAAACGTTACAAATTCAAAGCAGGAAAATCAAGTGTTCAAATTCAGTACTTTAAGGGTTCATTTGTATAAAAATGTTTACAGAATGTTATATCCTTTTTGACAAGAATTTATATAAAATGGATCATAATAGAAGCAAATGGTTTTTGTGTACTAAGTTACTTTTTATTCACTGTTTTATTATGAATGATACGTAGATATTTTGTGACAGTTTACACTCCTGATTAATATATAAAATCTTTAACTTAGTTACATTAAAGCACACACCTATCACACATGATAATATGAAAAACAACTAAATAATACTAATGGGGAAAACATTCTTATACAATATTAACCAATTGAAGTTTAAGAATTAAGATAATTTCAGAAGTTTCATTATTTATCATCGCTTCTTTTACAATTCCTATAACTTTCTTACTCAACAAAGAGCTATGCACTCAAACAGTTTTGTTAGAGTAACAATATCATGTGCATTTAAATGCAAAAGTTTATAGTAAAAAACTAAAAATGAAGGCAATTCTTAACAAAGCTGAGGTACAGTATATATATAGTGTAATATCTACCGACATTATATAAGAATTGGTTCACAAATAATATTTAAGCAGTGATCTTACACTGATATTTAAAGCAAAATGATAATAATGCTACATTTATTCCGTATCAAATATTGTCTCATAACAGCTTACAAAGAACAAAAAAGTTAAGGTCTCTTGCAAGTCTCATTCTGATTTAATTTGTTGATATTTCATCCAAGGAAATCGACTGATTTTAGCATGATTTCACCGGACTCCTTGTCAACGACTTTTACAACAATCTCGGTCCCTCCAAAAATGAAACTTGTTCCAAATTTATGATTTCTTCCAGAGCTTATATCGGAAATAGGCACTGTTAATGATCCAATGTAATTGCATCCATCTTCTGTAGTATGCTGCGGATTTGTTGAAGAGGATGCATATACCTTGGTGGTAACACGAGTTTGGTTATCGGTTATAGGTGTGTATATTACTTCTGGTTGTTCTTCATCCACCTTGATGGACTGCCCTGCTTTAACATGAATGTCGAATAAGTCATAACATCTCATATCTCCATTATTATCCTTTTCAACTCTTCCCTTCCGATGTTTGCAGCTCTCACTGTACCTATGAGAAAACCGTTTACCGTATGTTAACTTGCATATTCTTTCAGTAATTGTTGTAGGTTTGTGCCCGAAGATGACAGCTCCTTTTAAGACTGCTAATCCTGCGTCGTCTGGAACGATTACTTTCAGGTGTTTGAATGTGGACTTTACATTCGTTTGCAACACCGATGATTCAGAAAATCCACCAACCATAAGGATGGCAGCACAACCATCAACTGAAGGTGTCGTCAACAGATTTTCAACATGGCTTATTATTTTGCGAACTGTTGGTTCAAAAATCTCGTTGAAAACACCACCATCGATTTTCAATTTATCTCGTAAAACTTGGACTTTGCTTTCAAATCTAGACTGTCGTATTAATTCACTTAATTCCGTTTCTTCGACTTCTAGACATAAGTCAGAAAGGCTAGCTGGAAAACGCATAGTCACGGATCTTGTAGTTTGAATAATGTTGCGTTTTTTGTTTTCAAATTCACGAAAAAGGTAAATGTAATCCTCTAAATATTGACTTTTGAGTTTTGAGATGACAACAGGTCCTGAAATACGATTGATTGATTATCTAAAGTAAACCCTGGCTCATCTGATATATCATTGCTATTATATTGATATGGTATTAATAATTACAAACTAAAACATATCTAAGTTCATACAACGATGAAAAGTATATTATTAAAAGAAGTCTGAGTTAACACCTTCGCAAAATTATCCAAATTTAAAGTTATTTTAAAGAATATCTATTTTCTTTTCATTTGCACGAAAGAAGACATAAAATTAATTTTACGGATTACGTAGGAAGCTTTAAAAGTTTTTTTGAAAACTCTTTCCGTAAAAGTGACAGTTACTGTTACATATTCACTTCTTATGTGCACGTTATGATTTTTTAAGAATTATGGTTCACGGTAAAATATTTCGTTGTCACAGTGACAAATATGAGTTACCTACCAACAATACTTGATAGAAACTCTTCAAATGCTTCATCTACTTTAGTTCCACCCCATGCACCACCACTTGCTTTATGGAGTTCTTTCAAGTTTCCATTGTCAGTTACTTCATGTACAGTTATGTCAACCGTTCCTCCTGTTAAAGGAAACAAACTATTAACACCTCAAAATCCCTTTACTCTTTAAGAACAAAAAGAAAATAAACAGGCATATAACTCGCATTCAAAAGAAAATACAAAGACTTTTTTTTCTGACAGATTTATCAAATGAAAAAACAGATGGTTTTAGCGTTTCGTTTTAGTAATACATATAAGAAGAATACCTCCTGCGTCAAGGACAAGATATTTTGTTCCTGGTGAAAACTGGGAAATCGATGTAACTTCTTGTTCGGTACACTTTGACACCGGAAGATGACGACAATAAATAGATGCCGCTTCTGGTTCAAGACATAAACTTAGGTTTTTTCCCTGAATCTGAGCCTATAAAATCAAAAGGTTAATTAGACTTGATGAAGTTATTGCTATTACGCCAGAGAAGGGATCGCTTCGCCCACTGATTCATGTGACCCGGTCCGTAAGAACCTTAGATAAAATATGGTACCGATATACTCGCAAAACTGTTATGCAACTAATGTTACCAATGAAATATCCTTATGTAAAATTTGAATATCTAACATTTTGATGCTTTTAATGGTTTATTGAATAGTAGATCTATTATTCAATGTATAAATGTATTATGGTATTTTAAAAAAGCAAAAAAGAATATCTGCATTCACATCTTAATAACGCATGAAACGTTTTGCAAGATCGTGTTATTTCTTGTTGATTTCAATGGAAATTTAAAACTGACAAAATGTCATTATTTCTTACACATTCAAAGAGAGACTGTATGTAGAAAAGTATATGATTATGTTATGATCGTTTTATTTTTAAATTGAAGTAACGAAACAAAAACAGTAAAATTATATTAGTGACACAAATAAAATTTAAAATAATTTTTCGGGTTTTATGTGCGAAATTCAGTTTTGATAATACATTAAATTGTTCATGAATTGTTAAAATTGATTAAAAAATTGCATGCCCTTGCTAACTTTTAATGATAGGTGATTATGTATTGTTAACATTCACGACAAAACACCATATTATTCTCTTTAAAATAAGCTTCATATATACAGCCATGATGGTATTAGTTTCGTATTAAGCAGGTCTATTTTAATATACTGAAAATTAATAGAAATATTCAGGTTAGATGATTACACCCATTTTTTAGCTCACCTGACCACGAAGTGGTCAAAGTGAGGTATAGTGATGGGGCTATGTCCGGCGTCCGTCGTCGTGCGTCGTTCGTCGTCAACAATTGGGTTGTTAACAGTCTAGCAGTCACAGTTTTGATTGGATCATTGTTAAACTTTGTCAGAATGTTTGTCTCAATGAAATACAGATCGAGATCGAAGATGGGTTATCTCCGGTCAAAAAGTAGGTCACAGGAGCTAAAAATAGAAAAAAAATTGTTAATACTCTAGTGGCTGCAGTTTTGATCCAAATATTCTGGAAATTTGTCAGAAGGTTGTTTTGATGATTTCTAGGACAAGATCGAAGATGGGTTATTTCCGGTCAAAAACTAGGTCACAGGAGCTAAAAATATAAAAAGCTTGTTAACACTCTAGTGCCTGCAATTTTGATCCAAATACTCTGGAAATTTGTCATGAAGGTTGTTTGGATGATTTCTAGGTCAAGTTCGAAGATGGGTTATCTCCGGTCAAAAACTAAGTCACAGGAGCTAAAAATAGAAAAAAGCTTGTTAACACTCTAGTGGCTGCAGATTTGATTCAAATATTCTGGAAATTTGTCAGGAATGTTGTTTTGATGATTTCTAGGTCAAGTTCGAAGATGGGTCATCTTCGGTCAAAAACTTGGTCACAGGAGCTAAAAATAGAAAAAAAATGTTAACACAAGTGGCTGCAGTTTTGATCCAAATACTCTGGAAATTTGTCTGGAAGGTTATTTTGATGATTTCTAGGTAAAGTTCGAAGATGGGTCATCTCCGGTCAAAAACTTGGAAACAGGAGCTAAAAATACAAAAAATTGTTAACATTCATGTGGCTGCAGTTTTGATCCAAATATTAAGGAAATTTGTCAGGAAGGTTGTTTTGATGATTTCTAGGTCAAGTTCGAAGATGGATTATCTCCGGTCAAAAACTAGGTCACAGGAGCTAAAAATAGAAAAAGCTTGTTAACACTCTAGTAGCTGCAGTTTTGATCTAGATGTTCTGGAAATTTGTCCGGGAGGTTGCTTTGATGATTTCTAGGTCGAGTTCGAAGATAAGTTATCTCCGGTCAAAAACTAGGTCACAGGAGCAAAAAGTAGAATAAGATTGTTAACACTCTAGTGGATGCAGTTTTGATCCAGATATGCTGGAAATTTGTCAGAAAAGTTGTTTTGATGATTTCTAGGTCATGTTCGAAGATTGGTTATCTCCGGTCAAAAACTAGGTCACAGGAGCTAAAAATAGAAAAAGCTCGTTAACACTGTAGAGGCTGCAGATTTGATCCAAATATTCTGGAAATTTGTCAGGTAGGTTGCTCTGATGATTTCTAGGTCAAGTTCGAAGATGGGTTATCTCCGGTCAAAAACTAAGTCACAGGAGCTAAAAATAGAAAAAAGCTTGTTAACACTCTAGTGGCTGCAGATTTGATCCAAATATTCTGCAAATTTGTCAGGAATGTTGTTTTGATGATTTCTAGGTCAAGTTCGAAGATGGGTCATCTTCGGTCAAAAACTTGGTCACAGGAGCTAAAAATAGAAAAAAATGTTAACATTCATGTGGCTGCAGTTTTGATCTAAATATTAAGGAAATTTGTCAGGAAGGTTGTTTTGATGATTTCTAGGTCAAGTTCGAAGATGGATTATCTCCGGTCAAAAACTAGGTCAAAGGAGCTAAAAATAGAAAAAGCTTGTTAACACTCTAGTAGCTGCAGTTTTGATCTAGATGTTCTGAAAATTTGTCAGGAAGGTTGCTTTGATGATTTCTAGGTCGAGTTCGAAGATAAGTTATCTCCGGTCAAAAACTAGGTCACAGGAGCAAAAAGTAGAAAAAGATTGTTCACACTCTAGTGGATGCAGTTTTGATCAAGATATTCTGGAAATTTGTCAGGAAAGTTGTTTTGATGATTTCTAGGTCAAGTTCGAAGATGGGTTATCTCCGGTCAAAAACTAGGTCACAGGAGCTAAAAATAGAAAAAGCTCGTTAACACTGTAGAGGCTTCAGATTTGATCCAAATATTCTGGAAATTTGTCAAGAATGTTGTTAACACTCTAGTAGCTGCTGTTTTGATCCAAATATTCTTGAAATTTGCCAGGAAGGTTGTTTTGATGATTTCTAGGTCAAGTTCGAAGATAAGTTATCTCCGGTCAAAAAGTAGGTCACAGGAACTAAAAATAGAAAAAGCTTGTTTACACTGTAGTGGCTGCAGTTTTGATCAAGATATTCTGGAAATATGTCAGGAAGGTTGTTTTGATGATTTCTAAGTAAAGTTCAAAGATAGGTCATCTCCGGTCAAAAACTAGGTCACAGGATCTAAAAATAGAAAAAGCTTGTTAACACTATAATGGCTGCAGTTTTGATCCAAATATTCAGGAAATTTGTCATGAAGGTTGTTCTGATGATTTCTAAGTTTGAATATGAGTCGTATCGAGTCAAAAACTAGGTCACATTGCCCAAATATGGAAAACCCTTTTAACACACTAGAGGTCACTTTTGTGACTCAATTGTCATCAAACTTGGCCAGGATGCTTGTCTAAGACATTGCTTGGATGCGGTTGATGGGTCAGGGGAGCGATCCAGGGCCATCATGGCCCTCTTGTTTATTGTATTTACTCATTATATTTGCATTTTTGTACGACTGTGCTTTAATTGATGCTATACGTTATAAACAAAAAATGCCATATCTCCTGATATTCTGGACCTTACGATATGTAATGTGATAATGAATAGATAGAATGGAAATAAAAAAATGGATTTGTTTAAACCTTTTACTTTTGCAATGCATTGTGTTATAGCCTGGATAAATGTTTCGTACTTATTATTTCCATATGTAGTAAAATTATTGATTATTTTTGTATAATAACCTAACTAACTTGATCTGTTTATATGTCAGTATATTTGGTAATTAGATGAACAAGAGGGCCAACATGGCCCTAGATCGCTCACCTGACCCATCGAACTCATCCGAACAATTACCTAGACAAGCATTCTGACCAAGTTTCTTGACAGGTGGGTCAAAAATGTGACCACTAGAGTGTTAACAAGGATATACATATTTGTGCAGTGTAACGTAGTTTTTTCCCCCAGGTGACCCATATTCGAACTTGACCTAGAAATCATCAAAACTTTCAGACCAATTTCCAGGTTACTGGGAATAAAATAGAAGACACTGGAGTGTTACCAAGATGTTTCTATTTTTAGCTCCTGTGACTTAGCTTTTTATATGGGATAACCCATGTTCGAACTTATCTGAGCAATTACCAAGGCAAGCATCCAGACCAAGTTTGATGATAATTGAGTCGAAAATGTGACCCATAGAGTGGTAACAATGTTTTCCATATTTTTTTCCTTGTTTTTTCATTCGAGATGACCTATGTTGGAACTTGACCTAGAAATCACCAAAACAAACTTTCATCAAATTTACAGAATATTTGGATCAAAACAGTAGCCACTAGAGTGTTAACAAGATTTTTCTATTTTTAGCTTCTGTGACCTAGTTTTTCCTCCGAGATGACCAATGTTCGAACTCATCCAAGCAATTACTTTGACAAGCATCCTGACCAAGTTTGATGATAATTGAGTCAAAAATGTGACCACTAGAATATTAACAATGTTTTTCGATATTTGGGCGGTTAGACCTTGTTTTTCGTCCGAGATGACCCATGTTGGAACTTGACCTAGAAATCATCAAAACAAACTTTCATCCAATTTACAGAATATTTGGCTAGAGTGTTAACAAGATTTTTCTATTTTTAGCTCCTGTGACCTAGTTTTTCACCCGAGATGACCAATGTTCGAACTCATCCAAGCAATTACTTTGACAAGCATCCTGACCAAGTTTGATGATAATTGAGTCAAAAATGTGACCACTAGAATATTAACAAGGTTTTTCGATATTTGGGCAGTGTAACCTAGTAACCCAGGTGACCCATATTCGAACTTGACCTAGAAATAATCAAATCATCGAGATGACCCATGCTCAAACTCATCCAAGGAATTACCTAGACAAGCATCCTGGCCAAGTTTGTGAGTGATTGAGGCAAAAAAGTGACCGCTTGAGTATAAACGAACAAGTGGGACGGACGACGGACATTCAACAATCCTAAAAGCTCACCCTGAGCTATCTCAGGTGAGCTAAAAAGCTTTCAATTGACAGAACATTAAAATAATTTCAAACTAAATCTTTTCTGCACCATTTTCTTGGACAAGTAGCATGTCTAAGGAAAATGAGAAAATGATGGACTTTGTAGGCTTCTTAGCTTGGAACTGATAACTATCACTGATTGGCTTATCTCTGAGACCCCTTGCCAGTTTGATTGACAGGCGGCGTAATGTCAATTATTCAAATCAGCTTAAATTCGTAATAAATATCGTATTAAAAGAAAATAGGCAAATAATGTAAATAACTATGAAAATATATTTTTAATTAAGATAAGGCTGCGAAAGTTCGCAACTATAGAGGGACAGTGATTGCATAGGATTATATGAATAGTTCCCTGCTTTAGTAGAGGCTCGATTTAAATGAACAGGCTTTGAAATATGTAACATACTAGTATGTATCTATAGACACATCATAAATGACTTGATTCCTCGTTCATTTACACTTAACCTTTTCCATCATATAGGCGTGTTTTGACGGCTTTTTACCCCCCCCCCCCCTTTTGAGGGCTCAAACAGTGAAAAAAAAGCCTTTTGAGGACTCAAACTCTGTTTTTTTCGTTCATAAAATGTTGTTTAAAAAAGAGACCTTTTTTTCGGCACCGCCCCCTAAGCAAAAGATACATCAGGGGGTTGCAGAAGGGGGACGTGCCCCCTTCTGTTTCGGGGGTTGAAAGGGTCGGCAGTCCCTCTCATCGCCAAGAAAATTTTGGACATGTGACAGGCTAAATATGGCCTCAGGTCGATCTTAGGGTTACGTGTTACCAAAGTTGAAAAGCTTTTTATTCTATCTCAATGCATTGAGAAGTTGCAGCACTTTGATGATCAGTTTTGATGAAAAACGAAACAATGTAAAATAGTGATTTTTGGCAATTTTGAGACATCCCCCCGTTGCCATGGTAAAGGAAATTTAAGACTGAGCATGCTGTTACAGAGGTTATGGTCCAGTCAACATGTGTGCCAAGTTTCATCAGTATTGAAGCATGTTTCACGGTTTCATAGCAGTTTGAACTTGTAACAGGAGGCTTTTCAATGAAAACAGCCATTTTTCACAATATGCTAATGTGGTAAAAGGTTAAAGCGTTTAACTCATTTAAATAGTTGTATCCGTTTCAATTATAAATTATGATTGATGAAATAATTTATACCTGTTGTGCTGCCTCCCTCATAAACTGTTTAGCTGCATCGTTCCATATCGCTGGAACAGTAAGAACCCAGTGTATGTCAGACGCAATAAATATGCCATCAATGTGATTACTTAGAGTATCAAGAACATCCTTTCTTAAAAAATCAATAGATAGCGAGAAAACCCTCATTGCCGGAAGTTTCTTACCAGTCTCATCTTCTAGTGTATCACGTCTGGTCATGCCCTTATAAATAAGATACAATATTCAATTAATTTCTTAAATATTCGATACATTTTTTTTCATATAATTTCATGTTCCCTGTCTGAATAAACCCACGAAATAAATAATGCATACTATTTTATATGTACATAAGCGAAACATAGTTTATCTAAATTTATAGCTTGATGAGGAAACCGGGACAAATCGAAACTGTTTTTTTTTTCAATATGACAAGCCCAATTATTAATCTCTTTGTATTATTTTACTTCAATTTAACTTTATTTTTCTTTATAAATTACTGCAAAACATTTTTTGTGTGATTTACATTGCCTCTGGCGAGGGGTAAAATGAAACAATGCGTTGGTCAAAGTTGAACAGTAACTATAAAAAGAATTAATCTCAAAACTAAACGTTGATGTCATTCTATTTTTGTTATTAAGTTTATTTATAACAAAGTCACTTATTTATACATATGTACGTTTTGTTTACGTGTGATCACTTTCTAATTAGAGATTTCACTACATAATTACTCCTACATGTAATTAATTCTGAATTCTGTAAAAAAATTCCACCTCGCTGCATACTACAAAATATGCATGTGTATACGAAATTAATTGTCTAGCAATATACTAGTTCAAGTTTAAGGTACGAGTAATTACGTCACATAGAAAATTCTTAATAATTATTGAGAATGTCTCATTTCGCCCTCGTCTTTGCAGACAGGGAGGGAGAAAGACATGGATAGATAGAGGTTTGCATGCATGCGCGTACTTAACGTATGTACTTAATATGTGGTATTCATATTATACATACACTTTCTTTAAAAAGCATCATTTTAAATCTTTTGAAGAAGAACCATTTGTATTGTTCCCTTTTCTCGCAAATTTCAGCATATCTGTCCTCAGCATCATAACCGAAAGAATCTGGCGTTGTTCCATCAGAATTTATAAGAATGCAGGTCGGAACTGAAACCAATAGTTTTGATTTTGCATCAGTAGAAACAAAATACACACAGTTGTCAAGGACATTTGCGTGAGATTGATATTGGAATAATAACATTAACTATTATCATATTGATATTTACAATAAAAATAACCGAACATTAAATAATATTTTCTGGAACATATGTATAAATAATGACGTGAAAGGGTAAAGGCTGGCAGAAGACGAAAACTGAGTGCCGTTGTATCAAAAAGATATATTACAGTATTAGGAGTATCCAAAAATGTCTTATCTAACCTTGTCCTTTCTTTTTTATATAAGTTATTTTTCCAATTCATGTTCATAATTACATATATGAGCATACACATTGGGCCTTTAAAAACAATGGATTCTAAGTGTTTTGATGCTGCAACAAAGACCAATTTTTTAGAAATATAACGGTGCATATGATACGAATAGGACGATACTTATAACTTGAAAACTTAATGACTTAATTAGTTTATCAAATTGCGTTTTGAAAACTGAAAATAAACGATAGGACAAGCAACGTCGCATCGCCGATGTTTCGTCTACTAAATATAATTTTGAAACGTTATTTTCAATTTATAACAAAATAGTACACATGCCTCATTGAATTATTGTGACCGATCAGTAAAAACGCAAACATTTAACGGACTTAAGGCCAGTTCAGTGTTAAGGACTGACTGTGAGGTAAAATCATGATGCTTTGACACTCGAAGTACTGTGTGCTGTTTTTCATATTTTACAGCACTTTTCTGGAAAATTATAGTAAAATTTCAAAGAAGAAGGAAATCATATTGTTTAGTTTACAACATTTCTATAAAGATTCTGATAACTTTTGTTATTGCAAGATTTGTACACGCCGCTTAATTTTAGGTCCGTCATTATCCTACTAGAACCCACTCAAACGGACACTTAATACTTTCTTGTCGGACCGATGGTGTTATCGTGAATAATATATTATTGAAAGTCCTGCTAACACTTATAAAACTAAAGAGAGAACATATTTATGTAACGTATTATATATAACAACATGTATCTTATATCGCGCAATGCGGTCTCAGTGAAAAGTTCTCATGGGCAACACACCATGCCAAAATAATAAATATTCAAAATCAAACTAATCAAATAAATTTTAAGCATAACAATTAAATATATGTTATGCATCGTACTTAACATTGAACATCAGTTCAAAGTTGATAAAAGTCCCCCATCAAATCACCTATCGTACAATTTGTGAAAGACATATACAAATTACACTTATGATTGTCCGAGATATTACGAAATAATTATGTCTATACTTAGATATCCGGAAGAGCTTCGCGCGGGCAAATATAATAGTCATAACGGAAACAGCAATTTGATAGTTACATGTACATTTATAACGAAATGACTGTAATACGACTGTAATACGACTAAAATACGTAATGAACGACTTAAATACGTAATATGACATTTCAATTATCCTTTCTCAAATTGTCGATATATGTTTTAGAATCAAATGATACATATGCTTAGATAATAAACTATAATAATATAATATATTTTCAGTTTCACTAGGGATGGAAAATCTTGATACTGAACAAGTTCGTTTAAGACTGTAGAGTCATCCTTTTTATCATGTTCATATTTTCAAATGAGTAAACTGAAGGGGATTATATTGTACCTTTAAGTGATAAAGTTGAGTGTGGAATATTCTTTGCTGTTATCTTCAGAGGATCTCGGTCATAATCAGACTTGTATGAAAACGCCCATCCTGAATATGTTGTCCCGAAATCAATGGCTACAACAACTAACGAGCTCATTGCCTGTATGAAGAAAATTTCTGTTAATATGTTTTTATTGTTAGGGAGAACAAGAACATGTTTTGCGAAGACGTGTGGCCCCGGCTTTGGTTCTTGCCGGTAACCAGTATTTAAAAAGATTATAGAGGGGTGTTTAGTAAGAAAAAGATAAATCAGCTATAATATTAATAATATTTTTGACAAGTTATAACCCTAAAAGAGGGTTGTTAAATTAGTCAGAAGACTACCGCTATCCTGTCTGTCTACATTTCTATTTCGTATATTTATAGTTTGGCTGCACATCGGGGTAATATACCAGTTCTCGGGTTGACAATATCCTCTATCACCCCGACGTCCATGTGTTATTTATACAAGATTGTCGCGAATTATCAATTTACCACAAGTGATATTCTTTCTCGATCAAACACGTTTATATAACGTTTCAGATTCTGACGATATGGCACAGACGCACAACGCCTATAACCGTTATGATTTTTTTAATGAGAAAGAACTTGATTAATAGCGTGGGGTCTTTCAAGAATCAATCTCGAGAAAGAACAAGAATTTGGTAAATTAAAAAATACATTATTGTTAAACAGGATATAATATTAATTGCGTATTTGTTTAGAAATAAACACATTAACCTATTATTTATAATGAACTTTGTTAAGACACATATTAAGAAATACAAGTTTTGTTTTAAAGCAAATGATAAATGAAAGTTTGTGTACACAGCATTATTTTGACAACAGATTATCATTATCAGAATGGTT